TATTTATGAAAACGTTAAGTCAAATCTGTATTCCTATTTACAAATCACTTCATACTGTTTAATTTCGTTACGGTTATTGAATAAAATTATATAAAAATAATCTCTGCATTGTTTAGTTATTTCCAAGTGGTGCAGTTTGAGAATGTACAATTGGCCCAGTCTCCTCTGATGTTATACTGCAACCTGCCTGTGAGACAGAGTCCAACCAGACATGTCCAACACATAGGCCTAGCGCTTTCTACAACGCAAAGACGAATGCACTAGGGATGTCCCGATCCGATCACGTGATCGGGGATGATCACGTGATTTTCACGTGATCGGGGATCGGGAGAAAAAAATCGGGGATCGGAATTTATTTTTTATATAAAATATTTTTATACATTTTGTTTAATGTTACAAAACAAAAATGACCATGTTCACGTCTTAAAGTCATCCTGAGGCCTTAGTTTTGGGTTAAAATTACACAACATCATGTATGTGTTGCTTCTTTTGGGCTTGTTTTCATAGACCTGGTTGCTTATTTCTCTCAAATCTGGCAACAGAGTGGGCGCAGTGTCTAATAGTAGCAGTAAGCTAACAAGAGGCTACGTTCAGCTGGTGACTCGGGAGTCGGGACAGAGAAAATGTCAGGAGTTTGGAAGTATTATAAAATTGAAAGCGAAGGCAGTGTAACAGCCAGATGCAATGTTTGCAAGGCGGAGGTTCCGCGTGGTGGAAAGAACAGAGCTACGTTCAACACGACCAATCTAATACAAACACCACCAACAACAACACGACGAGTACACAGCGGCCACTCAGGTAACGGTGTTACCGTTTAACTGGTGACACCGGGGAACTCGTGACGTTCTATAACGGCAGGAATGTGTCAGGGGCGTGTACTTTGAGGAGCCACGAATAACCAGGAAATACACATTTCGATCGCTTCTTCTGTTGTTTACATTTATCTTTTGGTATATTTGGCTCCATAGGAAAACTTTGATGCACATTCAGTACCAGTGTGTGAGGTTGTGGTTGCGATGCCGATATCCGGACGCGTACAGCGAGGACTACACAATGACAATGAGGTGACTGGGGATGTCTGTTCAAAACATTGCAAACGTGAATAAATCATTTCAAATATATATTTGTCTCCGACTTTCATTTGTACATCGTTGTTAATGTGATGTTTAGTAGCTTTGATAGCTGTCCATACCTTCAGACAGCCTAAAAGTAAGACACAAGTTGTTTATTGTTTACTCACAGCCCGAATGCAGCATCGAGGTCCGTGGCAAGCTGTGATCCTCTCCGATTAAGTTGTGACAGGACTTCTGTAGCTATTCTCCAGCGAGTAAGGTTTTTATTAAATACCTCCATCCCTCTCATCACAACAACAAGACTCTACACCAGGGGTCGGCAACCTTTTTGATATGAAGTGCCATTTAAAAAAAAAAAAATTATCAGCGTGCCAACGATCGAGAATTATCAACGGGGGGGGGGGGGGGGGGGGGGGTGTTGAGGATGTTGAGGAGCTTGACGCTCGTGATCTATCAACAGGAGGGCGGGGGGGCCTCGCTGCGGGGAAGCAGTGTGTGGACCTGTCAGCGCAACTTACATGATACCGAATTTAACAAACACATTTAAATAATTGGTTTAAACGGCATAATAATAAGGACGATCGTCCGTTCTGTGATTCTCCAGAACACACATGTTATGATATTAGGGTCATGCAGAGTGAGATGAGATCGCTGTCCCTTTAAGAGAGAGAGAGAGGGGTGTTGCGTGTGCGTGTGAGTATGTTTCTGGAAGTGAAACGAGGCAGCAGAAAAACAGAGGTCTGTGATGTATTTTGTGAAACAGAAGAACAGCTAAATAAATGCAACGGCCTCTCAAGAAGAGCTCGCCTCTCTCCAGTCATTTAAGCTAAAGTGGGTTATTGAACCTGAAGCTCGTTGCTTCTGCCCTCCTCGACTACGGTCTGGGAGCCGACAGGAAAGTTCAACACACAGATGGCCAGTCCGCCCCTTTGTAGCATATTATTTCAATGAGAGATGAGCAGATCGCCACTGGGCTTTCAACTAAAGACACACACAGCCACGCAAAAACTGCGACATTTGTAAAGCTCCTTATGGGTACTGCAATTTGTGAAGTGCTTTCTTCCGTGGTGAAACGATCAGCACTGCACCACGGAGGAAAGCGGCAGAAAGTCACCTGGAGTTAAAGAGAGCGGGGCTGCGCTGCGTGCATGGCTTCCTTCTGCAGGTAACGGGGAGACGCGCTCTGGCGGCGGTCTCGTTCAGGATCCGAAAATACAATTTAAATATTTTGCACACTTATTCGACTTATTCCTAGTGTGCCACTGGCTACGGTGCCGCGTGCCAATGCTGGCACGCGTGCCAGGGGTTGCCGACCCCTGCTCTACACTGTGCAGAAAAAATACAAAATAAATGAAAATAACCTTGCTGGATAGCTTAGAATGAAACAAACAATCGTCCATGGCTGATATGTCACAGTAACGGGTAAACCACAGAAAAGTCGAGCGGGACACAAGTTGAATCCATATAATGAAATTGTTATTATATATATATATATCTCACTTTTCACCAGCTTGAGCTTCAATCTCTCTCTCTCTCTCTCGATACTCACAAACCAAGAAAGTTGTGACAGCTTCCTCCGGTTTATATAGCCTAGACAATCTAGGATAGAATAAATGATGGGTTGTGGTGGGGTCGTGTTTGAGATAGAATAAGAGAGAGAGAGCACGACGAGATCGAGAGCGATAGAGAGCGAGAGAGAGAGATAATATAGAGAGCGAGGAAGATAGCAGAGGGAGAGAGAGAGAGAGAGAGGAGGAGAGCAGAGAGAGAGAGAAGAGAGGAGAGGAGAGAATGAGAGAAGAGAGAGAGAGGGAAGAGAGTTAGAAGGAGGAGAAGAGAGAGAGAGGAGAGATTATCTCCTCCTCTCTCCTCTATCTCTCTCCTCTAGCTATCTCCGCTATCTCTCTCTCTCGCTCTCTCTCTCTCTCGCTCCTCTCTCTCTCGCCTCTCTTCTCGCCTCTCTCTCGAGCTCTCTCTCTCTCTCTCTCTCGCTCTCTCTCTCTCGCCTTCTCTCTCTCTCTCTCTCCGCTCCCTCTCGCTCTCTCGCTCCTCGCTCTATGCTCTATCGCTCTCCGCTCTCTCGCTTCTTAAGTGGCGAGAAGCATTTCCTTGGGAATCGACAAGCAGAACCAATATGGTCTAGCTGCGGCCTCGGCAAGTACACGACACGCCCACCTGACACGACGGTGGCTGAGAGACATTAGTGATCTCCAGTGTGCTGGGCAGTGTGGCGGCGGAGGGAGCCGAGGACACCACCGGAGGAGAGGCGAGCGATGACAGCAGCATCACCGTGGTGCAACTCTCCGCACAGACTGAGGGGACTTGTTACACGGAGCCCATCACCGGGGAAGCCTGCGGCGGGAGAAGGCGGTCTGCTCGGCCTGCCCTTGGCTCTGGGGTCCCTCCTTAAAAAAAGTCTCATCATACTTAATCCTAGACAGTAGCACATGGTATATATTGTACGACTTTGTCATTTTTTTTTAATGTTGATATGTATTCGCTCATAGCCTACTGTGCCTTTCACGCAGACAATACAAGTTCATTTTGAAATGACAAATAGCTTTATGTTTCAAGTTTATTTGCATTAAAAACGTGTTTTTAAACCCTTCTGTTGAAATTTGATATTTTGTTTCTTAAAAGATTAAATCTTTAAAAACATGCTGTTTGCCATTTTTAAAGTTTGATGGAAGAAATTAAAATATAGGTCACTGACGTGGAGCTTTACGCCTGCAATGCTTTCAAAAAAAATGTTGGTGTTGTTTCAGTTTTGAGTGAATATGGATGTTAAATTCACAAATGAGTATGAATAATCTTGAACAAGAACAGGATCTTGAGCCATGATGTTTTTAAAGTACAGAAACATTCAGAATGCATGACGATTCCTTCAAAGGTTTTGTAATAGACCCCTAGTACTTTTAATTTATAAAGTAATAATAATACATGTGAATGATTGAGCTCATTAGTGGCCTGACTGGCCCTCCTAATTTGGTCCTTAATGACCCCATGATGTGATTATGTATATCTTAAAACCGTTAACAACTATATTTAGATGTTCACAAATATCTACATTTATGTATAAATACATGTGTAGCAGTTAGACAAACATAATTAATAGATTATCTCATTAATACCTATTTTATATATTAAAAAAAAGTTTACTAAACCACCGTTTGTTGACAAAATGATTTGGGTTGAAAGTTATACTGTTGTGTCTCAAACGGATAGACTAGGTTATTAATTTATTTGCCTAATAGTTGCTTAAAATGCTACAATAACATTTGCAATTCGTTTTTAATCTGCCATGTACGATCTCTCAGCCACCGTAGTGTCGTGTCGTGTCGTGTACTTGCCGCGGCCGCAGCTGGACCCTTCTCAGCAGAACACCTCTAAAGGAACAATGGCGGACACGGACAATTTGCGAATGAGTTCTGCCTTTTGTAAACTGAATTTATCAATAATTTGTTAATAAATGAGGGCGAAAAACGTCACTTGTCCGCCGGACAAGTCAATTGAAAGATCTACTTCGATATTGTAAATAACACGTCCCGGACGGTGGGACGCACTGCTGTATAGATTAGATATCAGTGCTCCTTCTCCGGCTGTGTCTCTGAAATAATCAACACAACTACAGCTGACACAAAACAAGACAACTGAATACAACCGACAGACACAACAAAACAAATCTACAGCTACGTCTTAGTTTCATAGCAGAGGTGAGAAGTAACAAAGTACATTTACTCAAGAACTCTATTTAAGGTTCCAGTCTACGAGAAACGTAGGTTATATATGTGTTACAGCCAGTATTTTGTTTTCATAAGAAAGGCCACCTAATTGTCACGTCTGTAGTCAACACACTATAAAAGACTACAATTCCCACAGCTCCCGTTAGCTCCCATTAATTCCCGATAGCTCCCAGTGCAAACTCACCTGAACGAAGATTGTTTTCCCGGATCCCGCCATCCCGGTGTCTTCCCCCGGTGTCCTACTGTCTTCCCCCGGTGTCCCGGTGTCTCCTGAGGCCGTTAAACCCTCCCGGTTCTCCGGTAAATCCTCCGGAGCTGCGGAGGCCATGGTTGCAGTCGAATAGTCCAAAAATCAGCTCCTAACGTCTATCGTCTATCCCTTGACCTCTGTGTGAAACGTCACGGGGTTAAGGGATAGTGGATAGGAGAATTCAAAAGGACTTCGGAGCTGTTAGAAGTATTCGTTGTTCTCGCGTCCAGGAGAGAAACTTAAAATAAAGAGACTAATGGAGTCTTCTGGTCCCAAGGGGTGCAGGGGTGAGGAGAGGACAGACAACGCTCGTCTGCTCTATATATCCTCCGTTCGCTCCTCCTCTTCAATGGCGGCTGTGGTGACGTAGGGGCCCTCCTCGGTCTTCTGTGTCCGATATCGCGCATAACAGAGGATTTAAACGTTGTATATTCATTGCATAACTCCACACGCCTCTTCTCCTCATACTCTCTTTCATGACTTTTTCTTTAATGCATTTTAACGGCTCAAAACGTTACTTGCGTAAAACCGGAAGTCAAGCTTACTGTTGGTATTCCGGATGACTTCTTCCGGAATAGCTTTTCAAAATAAACTTTAGAATCAACGTTAACCACAGGCTGGTGCTAACTGGAAATGTTTTCACAATAAAATAGTTTTAAGATTACTCTATGTTTAAACTAAATTGCATCATTAAACATTGATTTTAATTTCTTACAGAGCATAGACTGTATATATAAAGCTTAGGAGAAGAGACTGCGGTACTTCAGAGAATCCGACTGCACTTTCTTCTTCTTCTTCTTCTTCTTCTTCTTCTTCTTCTTCTTCTTCTTCTTCTTCTTCTTCTTCTTTAATGGTGAATCGCTTCCACTTGGAGCATTATCGCCACCTACTGTTGATTTATTAAATGTTCATATTAAATCCTTGTCCTCAGACCAGTGTTTTTGAGGAATTTGAAGATCAACTTGTTTGCTTCATTTCTTGATTTACTTTCGTATATTGACTTGAAATCCATGTCCTTGATGTTATGTTGTTCCAGTGCAGTTTTCAGAATGAGTCTTTGTCTGTTATATTCCGGGCAGCTAAAAAATACATGATGTATTATCTCTGGATGTTGGCAACCATCACAAGTGCCATTTGGATGTTTTCCAATCAGATGGAATGTAGAATTTAATCCAGAGTGACCCAATTTTGTCCTGCTGTTAATGCTCTGTTCTCTTCTACTACTCCCCCAAGTGCTTCCCGTTCCTACTTCCCTTTGTATCTCCTATACATGTCTTCCTTTAGTGTTACTGTCCCTTAATTTTTGCCATTGTTGCTTGATAACTACTTTTGTAACAGATTTGACTTCATTATATCAATCTGGTTTGCTTTCAAACCACATTTTGCCAGTTGATCCACTACCTCATTCCCTCTAATACCCACAATTCCCAAATGTACTAACCTAAACATGATGTGTAAAATGTCATGTAAAATATCCTGACGACATTCTGAAGAGAAGTTGTTTATACTCTCCAGAGCTGCACTGGAGTCAGAGCAAATGACCACTCGCATTGGCTGTATTTCCTCTACCCACTGAAGTGCTAGTGAGATAGCCATCATGTCTACTGTATATACTGTGATGAGATCACTTGTTCGCTTTCCCACTTTGACCTTTAATTCAGGAACATAAAATGCACAACTAGTTTGACCATTTTCTGGATTTTTGGATCCATCAGTAAATATTTGTATAAACTGCCCATATTGTTCATGTAGAACAGTGTTCACATAAGCATATTTTTAATTGAATGTAACCGTTTCAATAAAGATAAATCTACTATAGGTTGAGGTAGCAACCATGGTGGAACAGCTGATAACAACACCGTCGGACTAATATTCCATTCTTTAACTTTGAATTCCTTACATAATTCCGAAACACAAACACAAAAACGTTCTTTCTTAATTTTGTTACTTTCCCAACTTGTTTTTACAGTTTGTTTAGTAGGGTGAGTATCTTCATGGCCCTGTAGATTTGCCCAGTAATTAACAATTAACTTTTCTCCTAAAAAAAATGGGTATTTCTCCGACCTCTACCTGAAGTGCCGACACTGGTGTAGATCTGACTGCCCCACAGCATATCCTTAGTGCTTGTGCCTGGATTCTATCTAATTATTGAAGAGAAGAGTATGCAACTGAACCATACACTATTAGTCCGTATTCTATGACTGAGCTAATTAAGGCTGTGTATACGTTCCTCAAAGCAGCTTTATCAGCCCCCCACTTATGGCACGTTTCCACTGCAGCGCGGAGCTCGCTTTAAGCGTGCCGAGCACTGCGGGGCCCGTTTTTGGTTGCGTTTCCACTTGGCCTAGTACCGGCTAGCGGGTCCTAATTCACAGTTTTTCTGGCCCCATAAAATCGTGGTTCTAGGGCCAGGAACAACCAGGCTGAGTCGGGCTGAGTATGCTAAACTAGAGAGAGAATCGCTGGCAAGGGGGCTACAACTACAACAAGATGAACATATTTGACCGTGATTTAATTGTAATACACGTTTCAAAATGATGCCGAAGTAACAACATACTGATACCGGTTAGTAAAAACCATGAATTAATGCTTTGACAAGTCTGCAGACAGGCGGCAGGCGAAAAACCTTGATGCGTGTTTTCTAAATGGAGATTGGCTAAGCTAACGCAATATATGCTCCGACCGTCCACACTCACAACAACGGCCTATACAGACATAAATAAAGCAGCGACTGTATTCGCCATGACACAGACAGTCTGTGGTTTGTACTTGTTTAAAACCCTTTCACGCATAGAGGTCACTACAGTGGACAGCTATTCAAAAGGTGTTTTCTTGTATATGCATGTTTTTTTTTTGCACCATCAGCCACTACATAGGACCCTATTGCATCATCCCATACACTGCCACTCAGTGGAAAGTCAGTGCAAGTGCATGATACATGTCTCTAAACCAAGATGGACGACAGAAAGCCAGATGGACCAAGTCACCTGCCGATATCCTGCCAATCCTTTCATGGAAAGCGCTCCCTGCAGGTATAAAACATTTGGTGACATCAAGTAACAACTAAGGAATCATATAATTCATAAATTGTCAAAGTATTGATTTTATGATTGCAGGAAATCATGATTATTCGCCTGTCCACTACAGTGGACGTCATGCATCACTGGCTATATTTCAACTAAACTTCATACTGTTACTGCTACTGTTCTTCTTGAAAATACTTCATTTGCAATATCTTTTTGGGCCTTAAATATATATACTTAAGTTATTATAATGTAATTTTAAGTTTGCAAATCTTTATTTATCATTTTTTCCAAATGTATAAGTTTTCAGTTTAGACTTTAACGCATACTGTCCACCTGAGTGGACATATACATTTTTTTTTTCCTAAATTTGAAAAAACTAGATAAAAAAAAACTAAAGTTAAAATCTTGATTTGCATGCCCCAAGAGCAATAAAAACACTTGGTAAAAAAATCCTGAGTGAGGCTTTCATAATTCATGCATGAAAGGGTTGTCTAGTTTCTGAACAGATATGAGGAGCTGTGAGCTCTGAGTGCTAACAGCTAACGGCTATGTTGTTTTTCTGGGGTTCTCATTGAAGATGACGTCACGGCTCCGCCTACACTGCGTTACTATAGATACTACCCCAGTTCCTAAACTGTAATGGCAATGCGCCATAAAGTGAGCCAGTCCTAACGAGGCCTAGCCATACCGAGCGAGGCAGAGCGAGGCCGTGTAGTGGAAATGCGCCATTAGTGCCTGCCAAGCACCTCATAACATTTAAAACTTTTTTACATTTATCTACTACTTTATCAATGTGAGTACTCCATGTGACTCTCTCGTCCAACCATATTCTCAGAAATGTAAATGTCTTCACTTTCTTTAGTTCTTGTCCATAAAGTTTTAACCTAACCTCCTCACCTATCCTTTTCCTCGTAAAAAATAAAGTTTCAGTTTTTTCCACCATGCAGCTTTCAATTTCCGTAATGGCTTCCTGAATCTTACCTACAATATAATTTACATTTCTGCCCCTTTTCCAAATAGCTCCATCATCTGCAAAAAGTGACTTACCGATATCAGATCCTACTTGTGTATATACATCATTTATCATGATAGAAAACAAAAGAGGACTTATTACACTCCCCTGTGGGGTTCCATTTTCAACTTCATGCCTTCGAGAATAAGAATTGCCAACTCGGACTCTGATGGCACGGCCAAACAAAAAATCCATAATCCAATTATATACGTTACCTCCCAGACCCATAATGTCCAGTTTTATTAATAATCCTTCCTTCTACATCAGGGCTATTCAATTGGCGGCCCGCGGGCCAAATCCGGCCCCGGGGTGATATTTACTGGCCCTTTGAGTATAATGTTAAAAAGTCATCAATTTTTTTTTTTAAGATTTTATTTATTTATTTATTTTGTGCCATAATGCCTTTATTCCAGAGAGGGTGTTACATTGAGAGGTAGAGGGGTAGACAATGCCTGAAAACTTCGACGGGCTCGGGTTTCGAACCCACCTACTATACTGTAGTGACAACTCCTGTCATTGATTGCATCTCTGCGTGAATGATTAGATCATTTCACCTAAATGAAATCAAATGAAACATGTAGGCCTACTGAGTTCTGAACTTGCCATTTAGATCTATAAAGGCCTTGGGGCTATGTTGTTTGATTGAATTAAACACAATATATGCACTCCACTATGCTGTTGTAGTATTTACTGTATCTGAAGCTCTTAAATATGATTGCTCATATTTCAAGCTATCTTTTTCCCGGCCCCTTGCTTTGGATCATTTTCATCAACCGGCCCCCATTCCAAACTAATTGAATAGCCCTGTTCTACATCATATCGTAAGCTTTTTCCACATCAAATAATACAGCTACAACACACTCCTTATTCGCTTGGGCTTTCCTGACTTCAGATTCCAGGCACAGCAGTGGATCTAAAGTACTCCGCCCTCTTCTAAACCCACTCTGATAAGGAGTCATTAGTTCATTTTTTCAACATAGTATGTCAGCCTTTCTGTTATCATTCTTTCCATAACTTTACACAAGT